GCAATATAGACAATACAAAGTGCAATTCTCTGGTCACAGTAGAATTAAACTAGAAATAACAAAACAATAAAAGAAAAAACACAAATACATAAAAAAAAACACTAAGCAACACACTTCTGAATGATTTGTGAGTTAGTGGTAAACTGAAAGGAAATAAAGCTATTATATTAAATTCATGAAAATGAAACTGCAATATAGCTAATCGGTGGAAATTTATAGAGTTAAACACATGCGGATAAAAGAGAAGGCCCAGTGAGACAGTCAGAGTGGGAGGCTGGCACATGATGAACAGGGAGAACTGACTCCTACGAGTTGTCTCCAGCCTGCACGTGTGCATGCGTGCGCGCGCGCGCGCGCACACACACACACACACACACACACACACACACACACATTAGTAAAGGTAATTTAAAATCTTAGAGCTGGGCGGTGGTGGCGCACACCTTTAATCCCAGCACTCGGGAGGCAGAGGCAGGCGGATCTCTGTGAGTTCGAAGTCAGCCTGGTCTACAGAGCTAGTTCCAGGACAGGCTCCAAAGCTACAGAGAAACCCTGTCTTGAAAAACAAAAAAAAACAAACAAAAAAATCTTAGAAAATAACCTATAAATGAAGAAAAAACTAATAAAATTTGAGCAGAAAATTGACAGAAAAAGATTCAGTAAAATAATCCATCTTTTGAAAAGAGCAATAAAATTGACAACCCCTAACAAGACTGACAAAGAAATTAGAAATTATGAATATGAGGAAAGAAATTGGATGTCACTAAAGACCTTGCAGATCTTGCAAAATGGGAGTGAAACAGTAAGAAACCCTAAAACTAGGTAGCTCGGCTGGGAAAGACCTTGCCTTGCAAGCACAATGACCTGGGTTTTGTTCCCACACCCATGTTCCAGCACCCAGAAGGCAGAGACAGGTGGACCACTAGGGCTCACTGACCAGCCCATCTACCTCCATGGCAAACTCCAGACCAAACACACTATGAACATGAGGGTGGGGTGTATAGTATGTGAGGGATGACACTTGAAGTTGTCCTATGGTGTCTACACATATGTGCACTCTTATACACACATGTACAAGAACACACACACAAAGAAAACCACATAAAGTGCAGGTTGAGTAAGTTACAGAAGATCATATCTTCAGAGTGTGCACACACACAGAACGACACTCTGGACTAGAATGTCTTCATGCCCCCTAGAGCTGGTTTATTTCAGAGGGCTTTTTCTTCATGCATTTATATCATTCCTACCCCTCTCATGTTCAACTCCACCCGTGTCCCATCCCACTCCCTTTTAGATTCATGACCTCCTTTAATCGTTGTTACATTACGTAGGTATGTAAGGAAGGAAACTGAATTCGTAATTTTAACCACCCCAAAGGAATCTCATGGGCCACATGGTTTCACATCAAAATTTCACAAAACATGTAAAGACTAATTAACACTAGCTCTATACAGTGTCTTCCAGAAGGCAAGAAAACAGTCTCTAGTTCATTTTATGAAGCCACTATTGGCATAAGACCAGAATCAGCCAAAGAGAAAACAAAAATGGAAAATCAAAAAATTCTGTCCTATTAATTCTATTAGCAAATAAAATTCAGTGCTAATTTTTTAAAAAAAATATGATTTACCACTTGACAGTGAATCTTATTTCAGAAATTCAAGAATGACTCAATGTTCTTAAAAAGCAATGTAACCTTCTATATTTGCAAGATAAAGAAGAAAACCCACAGTTCACTATTAATTAGCATAGACAAATATTGACAAAGAAACCCAACTGTCAGAAGAGAAGGAACGAAGGGCCTTGGGCAACCTAATGGCAGCTACTCTGCCCACGCTTCCCTCTCCTCTCAGTCACCTCTGTGCCACAGCGCGAGGCCAGAGAAAAGAAAAAGCATATCCACAGGAAGAAAGGAAAAACATGGCCCCTGGTTGTGAAAGTGGTGTTCTCTATGTAGAGTGTCTCAAGGAACTTGTTTTTAAACTTCTTGAAAAGCCAGCTGGTCTTTCTAGACCTCAGAATACGACAACCATATGAACACAGTTCTATTTCTACCTATAAGAAAGAGACATGTGCTCTCCAAATTTACATATACAAAACCATTTTCAGCTTCTCAAAACATGAAGTGCATATCTGTAGCTCTACAAAATATGTACAGATCTTGGAGCTGAAAACACCAAGAATGTTGAAAACCAAGTGTAAATGAATGGAAAATATAAACATGTTGTGGATTGGAAACCTCAAAATGTCAGCTCTCCCATGGACACACAGATTCAGCACGGTTCCCATCAAGATCTCAGCAGAATTGTTATAAACATAGTTAAGGCTAATCTCAAATTTGTATACAATACCACTGAACATCAAAAACGATTTGGCAAAAGGAACTGGCCTTTTGATTTCAAGAACTTTTATATAGTGACAGCAATACAATATAGTATGGAGAATGAGAAGACACATCTGTGGAACTGAGCTCATTCACAAAAATAAGCCAAACTGCCTTAAAAAAACAAAACCGCGTAAATCCATCACTTATACATAGATTAATTCAAAATGGAGCATGGACTCCAATACACAACATAAAACTACAAAACTTTTAAAAAACCATAGAAAATCTTCAGGTCTAAGGCTAAGATTTTTAGAATAAATACCAAAACTATGATTCATAAAAGAGAAAAAATAAGTTGGATTTAAAATGTTTACTTTGCAAAAGGCCTGGATAAAAATAAGCCAGGCTTGGTAATGCATGCCTGTAATCCCAACACTTGGGATAGCAAGGTAAGTAAGAAAAACCCAAAATTCAACAGTCAGAAAAGCATTTCAGGCCAAAGGGATAACTCAGCATGAATTGCTCTTTGCTCTTGCTAAGGGCCTGTTTGTCCCCAGCACCCACATTGGGCAGCTTACACTCACCTGTGATTCCAGTTCTGGGGGAATCTGTCGCCCTCTTCTGGCCCCCACAGGCACCTGTACTCACGTGCACATCTTCCTACACAAACACAGAGGCATACATATAATTTGAAAGAAATCTTCAGGAAAAAAAAAAGTCACTAGAAAATGGGCAAAAGATATAAATAGGCATTTAACTAAGCGATACACAGGTGGCACCCAAGCACAAAAAGTATTAGCATCAGCAATGCAAGTTAACATACAGTAAGCTATTGCTGCACACGTCAGGACAGCTAAACAAAACATGAAACAACAAGAGTACCATATGCCAGTGAGGATGTAGACACTGGGTTATTTGTATATCACTGCTGGGAACGTAAACTGGGGCAATTACTCTTTTAAAACCTGATAGCTTCTTAGCTAAGCCTCTCCTAGCTGCCTGTGATAGCACATACTTGTAGTCCTAGCGCTTGGCGAGAGAAGAGTTAGGAGGACTGGAAGGTCAGGGTCACCCCAGACAAGAGTCTCTTTCAAAAATAAATACATAGCTGCCATATAACCAGCAACTGCTTTCCTGGAATTTAATCCCAGTGAAAGGAAGACAAGTTCACACAAAATTCTGCACACAAATGTTTATTCAGCTTGATTTGCAACACCCATAAACTGGAAAAGACCCGCAGGTCCTTCAGTGCATAAATCATTCAACTGTAGTATAGCTCCTGACTACTACTCAAAAAATGGACAGAAATGAGTAGAGGAGAAACAGAACAACGATGAATTCCCAAAGAATTATACTGGGCGGGCAGAAAAATTAATTCCAAAAGGTTTCACACTGTGTGGTCACATTTACATAACATTCTTGAAATAACAAAATGGTATAATTTGGATGACAAGCTAATGTTTTCCAGGAGTTTAAAGAGAAGTCAAGACAGGAGAGAAGTGGGCACTGGAGAAACAATACGAGGGCATGGTTCTGTGTCTTCTCCACACACCGGTGTGTTCACTGTAACTTTAGAAAATGTCACATCTAGAGGGAGCAGGTGAAGTGTATGGGCAATCTGTCTGTCTTCTTCCAAGTGCAAATAATGCTACAATTACTGCATAACTTAAAAGTGTAATGAAAATATAGTTAACATTCCAAGTTAAATAGAATTCTAAAGAAAAATAGAATGAGTTGTGAATCTAGCCGCTGGACAGAGCTCCTGAGTCCTTTTGAAGAGAGGGAGGAGTAATAACATGAACAAAGGGGTCAAGACCAAGACCATGACGGGGAAACCCACAGAAACAGCTGACCTGAGCTAGCGGGAGCTCACTGACTGTAGACAGACAACCAGGAAACCTGCATAGGACCTGTCTAGCCCTCCTGAAAGCAGGTGACAGTGGGTGGCTTGGGCAGTTTGTGGGGCCACTAGCAGCGGGGCCAGGAGCAATCCCTAGTGAATGATCTGACTACTAGCGGTGGGGCCAGGAGCAATCCCTAGTGAATGATCTGATTTTTTGGAGCCCATTTCCTATGAAGAGAAACCTTGCTCAGCCTAGACACAAGGGGGGAGGGGGCGCTTGATCTTGCCTCAGCGCGGTTATGAGACAGAATTTATTGACTCCCCTTGGGAGTTCTTGCCCTCTCTGAGGATCATATGGGAGTGGGATGATGGGAAGGTGGGAGGATCAAGAGGGGAGGAATGGGGGGGGGGGACTGGGATTAGTATGTAGAAAAAATAAAATAAAAACCTTCCTCTCTTGAAGGAAACTTCTCTCAAACTCACTGATTTCTTACAAGTTAATCTAAAAAATCTTATACCGTGTATAATGCACCTAGTTTTATGGAACAAACTACATTTTAATGGCAAAATATAGACCAGTTTACGAAGTCAGTGAGTCCTGAAGAAGGTACCAGATAACCACACCCTCTGGACATCTAGAAGAGGATTGGAGTAGAGCTAAACATTTAGAACCAGAAATGAAGATTTAACTTCATAAAGATGAGGATAAAGTCTTAAGGGCCATTGAGCTCACCCGAGGGAAAATATACAATCTGCATCATAACAGTATACCTAGGACCACAAAGTAGGTACACACCAGGCAAAAACTCATCCGTTTCCTTTCTTTTCTAGACTCATTCCAACTGCTAGCATAAATACAAGAAGATACAGCCTACCTTGGACACCAAGCAGAAAGCTCGCTTTGAAAACCGGAAGGAATCTTGTGACAGATACCGCAGAATGGCTCCAGCCTGTGCCCCAGAGATCACTAGAATATTTATCATCCCTCTGCCGTCTTCAGAAGAGGAAAAAGCATTCTGAACCCCGGGCCAGACACACTGAATATATGATGAATATATATGGCCGCAAACGGGAGACTATTCCCTCACATCCTAAAACGGATGCCAACGCTGTCAGTGGTAACAGCCTTCAGCCTGCAGAATCCACCCTGAAGAGCTCTCAGCAGACAGTTCCTCATCTAACTAAAAGCAACAAGAAACCAAATGAGAGTAACAGCCCTCTCACCTTGCGTCTGAAGTTCCACGGCAACAGTTAATCAAGCTGAAAGTGCTTCCGGAACTGTGGTTGATGGAGATGCTCCGACACAGTAAAAATCAGCAGCCCCTGCCCTGCCCTGCCCTGCCCTGCCCTGCCCTGCCCTGCTCTGCCCTGCCCTCTTCACATGCATCTTCCTTAGATGAAACATCTTTCAGAGACTTTAAAAAATCCAGAGGAAATATAGAAAAGTTAAAAAAACACATATATTTAATTTGTATCAACATGGAAAAAAGCTTGAAATTTTTGATTTCTTGCAAAATTATGTGTGTATAGAACAAAAAGAAACTAAGACTTGAAGGAAGAACATGCTATTAATGATTTCAGTCACTTTGATGAACCAGCAGTCATATTCCATGTTTCTTTTATATAGTTGGTGTGCTATAAATAGCACAGGAGAAATAAACAATATTTCTCCCTTCTAGAAGAGCATCATATAATTGTTCCCAGGAGCTCACATGATAGCTTGGCATAGGGCACACGATAGTAATCCCAGCACTTGGGAAGTAGAGGCAGAAGGATCAGGGATCCAGGCTTTTAAATGTTGGGCAACATTTAAAAGCAGCAAGATAAATATTAATAATAACTGAATAGTAAAACAGTAATTTATGTACCTCCAGCTAATGAACTAACACATATCAGAAGATGCTAACTGTACAGACCAAAGGGTGGAACCAAATAACATGGAAATATATTATGGTTTCAAAGTCATTTTACCTCTCCTAGTTAAGCAAAGTTTTAAAAGATTAGAAATGCCCTTTCTCCTAGGGCAGCAAGTGCTCGCCTCCAGCCTTTCACTCAAGTGGGTATTTCGGAAGTAAATCCTACACCTCACTTTTGTCTTAAGGCAGTGAGCAGTCAGGCTGTGGGGTGGGTGGTACACGCTATCTCCCAATGGTTTAGGAGCCTGACTCAAAGATCACAAGTTCAAGGCTTGTCTGGGCTTACAGCGTGAGTTCAAGAGTGGTCTCAGCAACCTAATGAATGCTGTATCCAAACAAAAGACTGAAACAGCACGGAGGGAAACGGAGGGTGTAGCTCGGTGACAGAGAACTACCTGCCGAGTGTGGGGAGACCCTAGTTCACACCCCAGTGTCACCCGAAAATAGAAATAATACAGTGAGTACGAGGAGGGAGTCCCGCAACACGTTCAGCCAGTGTGTCAGTCAGGACGAAGGCGAGCGAGGGAGGAAGCAGGCCGCCAGGCCTGGGACTCGAGAGGCACGGGAGACATGACATAGGTCTAAGGAGGTTCGCGGTCAGTGTTTCTAGTAGCCGAAAGGGACTTGAGAGCTCACTGCGGTGTTAAGAGAATAATGCGATTTGTAGGGAGCGTTGACCATAAATTTCCTCGCGAACCCTTACACACACGGCAGGGAGCAACTGTGTTCCTCAGTAAGAAGGACTGTGTTTGGGGGGCGGGTAGGTATCTGGGTTCCCAGAGAGGTCCCTAATTTCTTTCCTGGGAATTCTTACCCTGGTAACTGACACCATGGAGGAGCACGAGCTCTCAGAGTCAGTTTGCCCCTGTTCTCGTAAAGCAGGGAAAGCTAAACTGCATGCAAACCTAAACTTTTCAATTGACGTTTGTTCTTTGAAACTTCGGTTATGTGAAAGTTTGAGACTACAAACTCTGGAGTTGAGTATCTTTGTGCGTATAACCTCAGTAACATGCTGGCTCCTCTGAGTGTGCAAGCTGAGGTGAGCGGTGTCTCCTTGATCATTTCACCATTGAGTGTGCAAGTTGAGGTGAGCGGCGTCTCCTTGATCATTTCACCATTGAGTGTGCAAGCTGAGGTGAGCGGCGTCTCCTTGATCATTTCACCATTGAGTGTGCAAGCTGAGGTGAGCGGTGTCTCCTTGATCATTTCACCATTGAGTGTGCAAGCTGAGGTGAGCGGTACCTCCTTGATCATTTCACCACTATCCTTTCCCTTTAATCCCCTATATTGTATCATTTTTTTTTTACTCTGGTGTGTGTGGGGATGTGTGAACTCTCGTGCACCGCTGAGTCATGGATGCCACAGTACCCATGAGGTCAGAAGACAATTTGCTGGATTCCGTTCTCCTACCACACGGGTGCGGGGACAGTACTCAGGTGGTCAGGCTTGGCAGCAAGTGCCACACCCACTGAGCCATCTAACAAGCCCTCCCCTTGTCTCTTATTTGCTATAAATACCCAACATGTGGGGTACAAGAGTATGTGTGGACCGTTTTCACACTCTGCTTTTCACATTATAATATTTAACTTTGAATTTTCTAAGTATGTCACTCTTCCATAAAGGCCTTTCTGTCTGCTCTTTATCATATAAACCTAGCAGTACAACTGGAAAGCCTCTAGTAGTCCTTGAAGATTAAACTCAAATGTACCCTTCTCTGGAATTTCTCATTAGATCTTCCGGGAATTCATAGTAACTAGGTTAATATGCCAAGACTTGGAGTGGACTAAGTGGCTGATGTGAGAAGGGATGGGTAATACAGAGAGCTGTAAACTCTTAGGAAACAAATGGAGCAGCTCAGAGCTTAAAAGACACCAGTGAATGCTGAGCTCACCCATCACTTAGGTACAAGTGAACCTTTTCTCCATTTAGGATGATGTTGGCTGCGGGCCTGGCGTACACAGGCTTTATCCTGCCGAGCTATTTCCCTCTAGTTCTACTCTGCCTAGGACTTTTATCATGAAGGCATGTTGGAGTTTTTCTGCACCTATTGAGATGATCATATGATTACTGTCTTTAAGTCCAGTTATATGACTTATGATATTTACTGATCTATATATTATTTTCTTTCCTTTAATTCCTACTCAGGTTTTTTATTATTTTTTCCATCTACTGGATTTGGGGCTGATTTGTTCTTGTTTTTCCAAATTCTTGAGATGCATCAAGTCGTTTATTTGTGTTCTTTCTGATTTCTTAGTGTAGGTTCTTAGAACTGTAGCTTTCCCTCTAAGACTGCTTGTAAAGTATCCCAGAGGTTCCACTGGGGTGTGGCCTCTTATACTATATACACGGATGCACAGCTTGCATCCGCCCCTTTTTTCCCTCCCTTTTCCCGCTGCTAGGTTGGATTGTTGGATTGCGGGATTCGATCTCTGTCCACCGTTCAAGCAGAGAATTCTGATTTGTGAGTTTACCCCTAGATAAATATCTATTTCTCAATTCTGAGCTAGTGTGGGATTTTTTTTTTTTTTTTTTTTTTTTTTTTGGTTTTTCGAGACAGGGTTTCTCTGTGGTTTTGGAGCCTGTCCTGGAACTAGCTCTTGTAGACCAGGCTGGTCTTGAACTCACAGAGATCTGCCTGCCTCTGCCTCCCGAGTGCTGGGATTAAAGGCGTGTGCCACCACCGCCCGGCTAGTGTGGGATTTTTTTAAGCGTCCGTTTCATCACTCATTCAGACTGCTTTTTTGGCCCCTTCATCCCTCAGCAATGTGTTGTTTTAACTGCTATTGTTTGTGTAATTACTAGAGACTCACTTGGTAGACTCTGAGCTTTGTTGCACTGTGGTCGGATAGTATACTCAGTTATTTCAGTTTCTCTGATTTTCTTTTTTGTTTTTGTTTCTTTTATTTTTTTGGGTTTTGTTTGTTTGTTTGTTTTTTAAGACAGGGTTTCGCTGTAGCTATCAAGCCTGTCCTGGAACAAGCTCTTGTAGACCAGGCTGGCCTCGAACTCACGGAGATCCACCTGCCTCTGCCTCCCGCGTGCTGGGATTAAAGGCGAGCACCACCACCGCCCAGCAGTTTCTCTGATTTTCTTAAGATTTTGTGTCCTGGTGTAGGCAAAGCCTCCAAAACCATGAATGAAAACGATAGTTTCCTTCTTATAAGTTTATTTTCAAAGGTAGTTTGTCAAAGCAATAAGAAACTAAATAACCCAGCAAATATACAAAAGTAAATTTCTATAAGCACCCCAGCAATGAACACTTAGAATTTGAAGGTAAAAAATCACAAGACCATTAACCCCAAACATAAAATTCTTAGGTGCACATCTAACAAAATGTCAAAATATACACAAAGAAAAATTTTAAAAGCTTGGGGCGATCGGGGTATTAAATAAATGGAGGTATATTTTATGTTCCTGGATAAGAAGGCCCAGTATTGTCAAGATGTTTCACATCTGGATCCATGGCGCAATCTCAGAACTGTAGTACATCATGTTGTGGACGTCAGCAAGCAGGGCTGGAGTTTGTATGGAAACAGCCCACACAATAGTGCAAGAGACCCGAGTCGGGACTGCCACTGACTCCAAAAGCTCCAGTGATCAGTGCTGAGAGAAGAATCAACAGAACAGTAGGATAGAATAGCCCACAAAACTTCAGGAGAAAGAACCAAAGCAGCACAGGGGAGCAGAGACAGCCCTTCCCAAGGCTGTGCTAGAACAACCCCACATCACAAAATCACCTCAAAGTGGATCCTCGATCACATTCAAATCTGTTCAGCCTGTAGGAGAAAACCTAGACAACAATGAGTCAAGATCATATAGACTTTTCTCTCCATTTTGCTATGAACCTAGAATTTGAGAATTCTTTTTAGAAATATAAAAAGTAGGCAGAGATGCTCTCTAGTTTCCTCACCCGTTCCCCAATTTAAAAAAATTGGTAAAATTATTTTTAGAAAACTAAGGTCTCAAGAGTTGTCCCCAAAACATATTTCAAGGCCAGTGCGATGGTTCAAGTAGCAAAGGAACTTCCCTCAGGCCCCACGACCTGAGGTAAATCCCTGCAACCCACATGGAAGGAGAGAGACAACTCTGACCTCCAGTCGTGTGTGTGTGTGTGTGTGTGTGTGTGTGTGTGTGTGCATGCATGCCCATACTCACAATAAATAAACACAACAAATGAAAAGATGTGCCTTCCAGAAAAGTTAGAGTGCTCATATTATTAGCAAGGGTGTATGCCACCGCACACCCTTTCCAAGTTGCAGAGGCAAGTTGCTGCAAGCAGGTGCAACCAGGTTAGAGACATCCCTTTGCACCCAAGCACAGTACAAAGGCTCTTCCCCAGCCTTGGCAGGCTAGACATCCTGGAGCCAGTCACCTTGACCCCGCTTAGTCAGAAGGTCAAAGTTCCCTGTGGGAACTGTCAAGCTCAAAAGACCCGACTACTGCCTCACCAGCCTATCCTAAGAACAGCCATGCCATTCCACAGAAATAGCTCAGGTATTCGGTCTCATACATAAGAGCAACCAGCTTGGAAACTCTCCCCCAAGTAATCTTGTTTGGCAGAGTGTGGGGAAGTTCAAGGGCAAAAGTGATGTCTACACAACGGAGGCTTTGGCAGCAAGAGGTCAGCTGCTTTTTAAAAGCAAAAAGCTCAGCCACGGACAGGGTAGAAGGCCAGAAGCCCTGAGGGACCAAGCAAGCTAGCCCTGTTGGAATGAAAACATGGAGAAAGAGAAGGAGCCAGACATGGTCTGTAATCCCAGCTCTTGGGAAGCAAAGGCAGGAGGGTTTCTGAGAGTTGGAGGCCAGCCTGAGCTACATGGTGGGACCCTACCTCACAAACAGAAGAAGGAAAGACACATTGCAGGGGCGGGGCAGCCGGTGGACTTAGACTTCCAATTGAAAATGGTTTTTTCTTCCCAAGATCTCACTAAAATGGCCCTTTCTTTTAAAAGCAAAAAGCTAAAAAGACAATAATGGGAAGGAGGCCAGCTTTGAACTTCCCAACAATAACAGGAAAGGGAGTATGGAATACAGTCTCAACACCATAGGACAATTAGTTTAAAAATGCTATGCTCTGTCCAACTTTGAACAATTTTAAGAATAAAATAAAGATATCAGTTTGGCAAACTTTAAAAAAAATTACCTTTGGTGTCCCTCATTTCTCAAGAAATCGCCGGAGATTAATTCTAATAAAAGTGAATTAACCGAGGAAGAGAAAAGCTTTTGGTCCAGAAAAATAAGGAATCTAATCTAGTACAGAGGCAAAGTGAATCCCTAGCATGAAGTTAAGACCTCAATTGGGTATAGGGTGTCATGGAGAAAGGAAGAGAACCTCAAGAGTTTAATTTAGCATTATCGGGGAGCTATCTACTGTCTTTCCCAAGCTTACCCAGTTCCAAAGTCCCAGTGATCATGGGAGCAAAGAAGACAGTTTGTAAACTCAGGCCGAGAGTCCCTCCCTGCGATTTCAAAACAAACCGCCTTCTTTCTCTTTTAGTTTGAAATGGGATTGCACCGTTCCTGTTGCTACATAACTGTGAAGCATGACTTTGCTAATGACAACGTTTCCAATTCAGAGAAGCAGTCAAAAAAAAAGGGGGGGGGCATGGCATAGCTGCTTTCTGAATGAATGAGTAGAGGGGACCCAAGTTCCACCTGCTGTGCTGCCTGGGACTTTGGCCACAAAGTCTAAGATCTCTCCCTAGAAAGATTCTAGGTCGTGTTTATCTGGGTTGCACCCCCTGGAGCTCGGGAGGCTGGCGTCTACTTTCCTGTGGGAAGTTACAGTGTGGTCCGGTCCGATCAGGACCCTCACCTGGCTCACTGAGCAGGTGGTTTGGTGCTCC